AGCACCACATAAGCAAAAAGAAAAAAGCCGGAAGTGGCGCTGTGGCTCAAGTGGTAGAGCGCTAGCCTTGAGCTGAAAAGCTGAGGGACAGCGTTCAGGCCCCACGACTGGACCAAAAAACAAAAATAAAATAAAATAAAAGTTCAGGCTATGTGTAGAAGGTAGACAGGAAACCTAAGTAAGTTGTGTTTAGACTTGGTTCTGTCCTCAAGATAGTTCATTAGATATATGCAAATATTCCCAAATCCCCCCAAATCTGAAATCCAAAACATTTCTGGTTCCAGACATTTTTTGATAAGGGATAATCTGTGTATCAAATTATGATTGAGTCCACACTCCCAGGGTGGAGCAGTTATTTATTGCTGCCTAACAAATACCTCTTATTCCAGCTTTTTAGATAATTGCCTGAGCTATTGATTCTCAGAGCTCAGCCTCCTGAATAGCTAGGATTCCAGGAATAATCACCAGTGTCCAAATTTTCCCCCTTTACTTTTATTATTTCAAAGTAGTTATACAAAGGGGTTTCAATTTGGCCCATCAGTTTATGAGTACAGTGCATCTTGATCAGCTCTTCCATTGGATACACTATTTCAGATCGGAGCTTTTGATTATATGGTTAACAATTGGATTTTTACTGTATTTTAAGTAAATGCTAAAGATTAAGCATTAAAATAGCTGTGATTTTAAAATAAAAACATTAATAAAAATATCATTTTAATGAAAGTAGCTACTTTCTAAAATAAAAAACTTCAGAGAGTAGCACTGTTTTATGTATTTGCAAATTGCTTTACTGTCTGGCTTAATAGAAAACAGCTGGGCTTGCATATCTGCTTCTGCACTCAGTCTTTTGCACATCACATCTGGTGTAGCAACAGGTTGCCAAAATGAAGAGGGAGGTAAGATGACTGATCAGATGGTGCAGGAAAGCATCCTGATTCCCTTCATAATCTTGTAGCATCCAAATTAGAACACCCTGTGTGTGTGTGCATGCAGGTCAAGGGCTTGAACTCAAGGCTTGGGTGCTCTCTCTGAGAGTTCCAGCTTAATTGGAGATAGTTTTATGCACTTTCCTGTCCAGGCTGGCATTGAACCATGATCCTTAGATCTCAGCCTCCCAAGTGGCTAGGACTATAGAATGCCTTTTTTGTGTGTATATCAGTACTGGGGTACAAACTGAGGGTCTCATGCTCTCACTTGACTTTTTCACTGAAAGTAGAGGCTCTGCCATAGAACCTGAGCCATGTACTTCATTATTGCTGAATAAAAGTTTATCATATAAGAATCTAACCATAGATTCACATACTCTGAGTATGTGACCAAAGTCACTGGGATAGTGGCTTAATTATTTTGCCTAATTTACAATTGTGTGTGGTGGGGTGCTGGTGGCTCACACCTGTAACCATAGATACTCAGGAGCTGAGATCTGAGGATGCTGGTTCAAGACCAACCCAGGAAGGAAAGTCCATGAGACTGTTACCTCCAATTAACCACCAGAAAACCAGAAGTGGAGTTGTAGCTCAAAGTGGTAGAGCAAGCTAGTCTTGAACTAAAGAACTCAGGGACAGCACCCAGGCCCTGAATTCAAGCTCCATAAGAACAAAAAAACTTGTGTGTGTTTCTAAACAGTGGCATGTATTTGACCACTTGATTAAATATTAACTCCTCTTAGGCCTATCTTATAGTCTCAATAGAGGAAATTACTACTCCCTGGATACATAAAAAACCTAGGGTAAGAGTGCTCCTAAATGAGAGTAATAATAATAACTTGCACCACTGCCCTGCTCCCACCCTTCAGTTTATAATGCAACATCCTGTATCAGTCTGTTAGACTGTGTTTAGGTAAGATTATGGAGATAACGTGCAAGGAAGACCCTGTGGAACCTTGCTACCACGCTGGGTTCAATCCCCAGTAGTAGGGAGGAGGAGGAAGAGCTAGTCTGTAGTTCCGAATGGATCATTTGGGTACTTAAAATGATCACAAGTGATGTAGCTAGTTGGAGGGAGAGAGGAGGCTGTAATTTGCCACTAATGTAGCTTCTGTGTGCTAAGATATATTTTTTTAATTATTGCATTTTTTATGCATCAAGGAGAGGTTTGAGAGTTGAAGAGTTTACAATGAGTTTAACGTTCTTTTCATCATCTGAAGGCTGGTGGGTTTGTTCACTTCAGCACCAAGAAGGGGATGGAAAGAGGTGATATTCCCTTTTCTACAAAGTGCCATGACTGACTTACCTACTGCTTTGCTTTACAGTGCTGGTCCCAAAGGCGACAACATCTATGAATGGAGGTCGACCATTTTAGGGCCTCCCGGGTCTGTGTATGAAGGCGGTGTCTTCTTCCTGGACATCACTTTCACACCAGAGTACCCCTTCAAGCCTCCAAAGGTGAGGAAGCCGCTTATGCCCAAGCTTACAAATACCTATGGAAGTTTTGGTATTCATCTATAGGAGCATTCCGAGCTGAGTCCTTGGCTTGACTTTGCCTCGTTGACAAAGACCATCTCTAGGAGTGAATGCTTAAAATTGTGCTACTTTAGAAGTAACCTTGTTAGCAGATGAGAATTAATCCACTATTTTCATCCTGCTGGAAAAAAAGCTTGATCATCAGAATCTCCTTGCTGTTATCTTTTTTCTTTTTTTGGGGGGGGGGTCTGGTTGTGGGGCCTGAACTCTGGGCCTGGGCGCTGTCCTTCAGCTCTTCAGCTCAAGGCTAGCTCTCTACCACTTGAGCCACAGTGCCACTTCCGGCTTTTTTCATTTTGCTTATGTGGTACTGAGGAATCGAACCCAGGGCCTCAGGCATGCCAAGCAAGCGCTCTACCACTGAGCCATCTTCCCAGCCCCTGTTATCTTTTTTCTTATGTTCCATTCCTTCCATCACTAGGATAGACAGGGAGCACCCAGACCACCACCTCTTACCACCCCACCAGTAAGTAGCCTGAGAGGTGCTGGGTACCATCATGGCATAAGAATTACCCCCCCCCCCACACACACACATCTCTTTTTTAAAAAAAGAAGGTAAAGTTACAGGGGATTTGTGGACTTTGGTGTATTCTAGTATGTTCCACAAATTAAAATGTGGGAGTCAAAGTAGGTCCTGCCACTTGTATTGACATGTCTATTACTGACTCCTCGCCCATGGACAACTCCCATCTTGGTAAGTCTGTCATTCGCGTAGACGTAATGTCTGGACCCAATGTGTGGTCAGAAAAGACATCTCTTAATTTTGTACAGTATATAAAATCATTTGCTTTTGGGAGAGGCAACACTGAGGAGGTTGGAATCTTGTGGCCTCCTGCTATTAGGCAGGTACTCTACCACTTGATCTCTGTTTTGCTTTTGCTATTTTTAATAGGATCTGTCCTTAGACCTGTTTATGCTTCCCACTGCAGCACTGATGGCAGGCCTACATCCTTTTCTGTTGCAGTGGCATCTTGAGAATTTTCCCCCCCCAGCCTTGTCTAGTACCAATGTTCTCTCCCATCTCAGCCTCCCCTGTAACTGGGATGATAGGCACATGTCACCTTTGCCCAATTATTGGCTGCAATGGAATCTCAGGGGTTTTTGACTGAGGCTAGCCTTGAACCTCAGTATTCCGAATCTCAACCACCCAAGTAGCTAGAATTTCAGGCACAAGCCACCAGCGCCTAGAGTTTGCTATATTTTTTAACGAGTAGGATGATTTATATGGTTCTCAGTATTTGATTCTGAAGCTTACTTTGAAACAGTGCATTACTACCAGCTAACACAAGAGGTCAGCAAACAACTATTGAAACTTGGAAATGTTACTATTTTTAAAGGTATTAAAATTGCTAAAAATGACTAAGTATGGAACTTCCTTTGCTTCTGTCAGTCAGTGGATAGTACTTGAAAATGAGAAGGACAATCCCTGAAAAGTGGTATCAGGGAATACCCTCTAACCTCTATCTTACCAGTCTTCCCTGTCTTGTCAGACTACCTTAAACTACCTGGGAGATTGTTTTCTATCAGAATCACTCAGTAGAAAATTTAGTAGGAAGTTTGTTGTTTGAATAGTGTTGACATTGCCTTATTCTTGTAGGTTACATTTCGGACAAGAATCTATCACTGTAATATTAACAGTCAAGGAGTTATTTGCTTGGACATACTCAAAGATAACTGGAGTCCAGCACTAACCATTTCTAAAGTCCTCCTTTCTATCTGCTCACTTCTTACAGACTGTAATCCCGGTAAGATTGATTATTCTTGTTTTGTTTTTCTATAAGTTTTCTACATTTTTGAGAAGTTCAATCTAGTAGGTGAAAAATGTAGCAACTCTACCCTTACATGGTAGGGAACACATATTTTGAACTGAAACCTTAGCTGAGGCTGTTTACTTGAGTTTTTTACGTTAGATCCTTCTCCTTGTTGTAGTATTTCCCTTCTGGGTGCCCGTGGGCTCACAGAACACTTGCTCCATATCTGTTGGCCGATGTGCTCAATTTTGTACATATTTTTCTTTTACTAAATACTTAGTACTGAATTGTGATTGTTTTTGACTCAGTTAAAATAATTTATTTTTCTGCCCCAAACCACAATGTTTAAGATTGTACTTTCAGAGAAACACCAACTGTGGGCCCAGATTTTTACTTTATAAATTAGTTTCTGTAGAAGAAAACAATGTTCCATTGCAGCAGCTGAGTACTTGTTAACATTTCCCATGTTCCATGTGAACAGAGTGCGTGTTAGTGGAGTGCCCACCTTGACCATTCCAGGCCATACCCAACTTGGCCTAAACAGTTAGGAGAAACAGAGTAAGAGAAGAAAGCCACATGCACTTCCTGTTTTGCTAGGATAATCTTACCACCCCCTTGCTACACTTCATGTGACATTTCAGTTGCAAAGAATGGTTTAATCACAATTGCTTTATTGTACATTTCTACTTAAGCAGTCCAGTTTGCTGTAGTTTTAAAATGTTCTTTTCCTTTCTCCAAAGTAATCTACATTTTTTTCTTGCAGCCGACCCTTTGGTAGGAAGTATTGCCACTCAGTATATGACCAACAGAGCAGAACATGACAGAATGGCCAGACAGTGGACCAAGAGATACGCTACATAAACTGGGTTTTCACAGTTCCTCCATTATTTGTCTGTCACAGAAGAGAGCTGCTTATGATTTTGAAGGGGTGGGGGAGGGTGGGAGTTGGTAAAGAGTAGGATATTTCTATAACAGATATTATTCAGTCTTATTTCCTAAGATTTTGTTGTAACTTAAGGTATCTTGCTACAGTGGGAAAAATTGGTAATAGCAACTTTTAAAAACTGTCACTAGTTCCGCAATGTTAGCTAATACACAGTACAGAAAAGAATGTACATTTAGATATTTGGGCTCAATTGCTTGTAGTCTTAATTTTAAAACAACATAATTTTGTACAGGTTATACACAGCCATTTATGTAAAATCTGCTTTCCCTTCTTGGAAGGGAACATTGATATTTAACAGAGTTTTTAGAGACTGTCATCTCATTATATATATATTATATATATAATGGATACGTGGCTATAAGACACCATGTAGGAAATGAATAGTTAATGTATTTTATTTTATATGCAAATCTACTTTAGAGGTTTAAATCAACTTGGAAATCCTGTAGTGAAATACCTTAAGCTGTTAACTGTAAGGCGTGGAATAGGAGTCGCTCAGTGGATTGGTTCTATGTTGTAGACTTCTTACGTCTGCATTTGTTACTGTGCTAATAAACAACATTAAAAAAACTTGATTCTGCTGTTTGTTCACTTGTTTTCTTCTGCCTGTTCCTTACAGCTTGCTGTTTTAATTCATGAGTAGGTATCTTTACCTATGCAAGAACTGGAGATGTCTTAGATGGTTTAGACCATGTAGCCTTTTCTGGGTTTCAAAGACAAACTCCTGTGGTCTTTACTTTCTTTTAAATTACAAATGTATTACTTCTAGTGTGGGGGCTGAAAAGTTCAGTGTGTGGTTTGTGTTGGTTATAGGGCTTGAATGCTGGGCCTGGGGTCTGTCCCTGAGCTCTTCATCTCAAGACAAACACTACCACTTGAGCCATAGCGCCACTTCTACTTTTCTGGTGGTTAACTGGAGATAATAGTCCCATGGACTTTCCTGCCTAGGCTGGCTTTGAACTATGATCCTCAGATCTCAGCTTCCTGAGTAACTAGAATTACATGTGTGAGCCATCCGTGCCTGGCTCTACCAGTGTGTTTAGCAGTATGAAGAACTGAGGTCTTCCTCCGTGCAAGGCAGATTCTCTACTATAGCAACATGCTTCCAGCTCCCTGGCTGTCTTTACATGCTGGAGAAGGCAAAACAGCCCTCTTGGGACACTAATCCAATTAATGAGAGGACATCCCTCTGGTCTAATCATCTTCCTGCATCTTCTTAAAAGGACTTTCTAATTTGCAGATGCTGTGGTAGAAGCACTTAAGAAGTAAGTTCCCACAGGTAAGTTGGAGAGCCACCTCAGGGCAGTTCTTCTGTCCATTTTCTTCAGAAAAACTCACCCAAGTGTACATACATTCATTATAGTATTTTAAAGAACCTGGTAATGTCTGGGTATTAACATAGTGGGGAAAAAGCAAACTGCAGGGGTAAAATATGTAGGAAAAAATAAACGAATGACTCAATATCCGGTAACATTTTGGCCTAAAAAAATGTACTTGTGATGAGAAATACAAAAGAGTTAAAATAGTAGCAGCAATTGTATTTTTTTTTTTTTTTTTTGTCAGTTGTGGTGCTTGAACTTTGGGCCTGGGTACTGTCCCTGAGCTCTTCAGTTCAAGGCTAGCACTCTACCACTTGAGCAACAGCGCCACTTCCAGCCTTTTCTGTTTATGTGGTGCTGAGGAATCAAACCCAGGGCCTCATGCATGTGAGGCAAGCACTTTGCCACTGAGCCACGTTCCCAGCCCTGTATTATCTTTTCTATGTAGCAATTCTTGGTTTGAACTCAACTAATCATCCAAGTATTCCAGTTAAGGCTGTGCCTTCTAGCAGTAGAGTGCCTGCCTAGCAAATACCAGGCCCTGAGTTCAACCCCCCCCACACACACACACAAAATCCATTTAAGATGTTACAATTGACTTGATGTCAATACTCTTTGATAATGGCTTTTTTTTCAGATTTTTTTACCTTGAAGTTTACTAGTTAACTCACTGATTCACAGCTGTAACTAAACACTTCCTACTTTACTTTTTTTTTAATTGGGTTTCACATAGCAAAGCTGATCTTGAACTCCAAATCCTCTTGCCTTGGCCTCTTAGGTACTCAAGTCATACATTTAGATCACCATGCCTGGCTCCTACTTCTTAAATAAGTTGTAAAGCTGTGAAACTGCTAACTATAATTAACCCCACTGCTCACATCTTGCCCAAATCATAAAACCACAGTACAAGCTCTGCAACGGTGGCTCATGCCTGTAATCCTAGCTATTTGGTAGGCTGAGATGTGAGGATCACAGCTCAAACGGCAAAGTCTTTTAGACTCTGATCTCCAATTAACTGGCAAAAACAAAAACTGAAGTAGAGGTGTGGTTCAAGTGGAAGAACTCTTAGCTTTGAGCAAGAAGCCAAGTGAGAGCCTGAATACAAACCCCTACCCTGGGTAGCCCTGTATTTTTCTGGTATATTTTACTGCATGTGACTAGGTATGAGACTTTAACTGCCACAACTACTACCTTCAAGTCATTAAATATGATTGGAGCAAAACTAAAATGACTTTTGTATAACAAAATATCCATAAGGTAAGAAACTAGCTTATCCGAAGTTTGTAGTGTCATTGCTCCAATATAAGTATACTGTCAAGTTTTAAAATCCTGAATATTGCATGCTTATATGCATACAGCTACATACAGTGAGTGTAACTTCTGGACAGGTTGGGGCTTACGTAGATGCTACTTGGGTGCTTTCCAAACTTATTTTACTATTTTGACAAGTGCAACATCAGTAATAAAAGGCTTTGAACAAGAATGAGAATATATTTTATATCAGGCAACAGAAATAAACTTACACCAATAGTTTAATTACAACCTAAAGTGCATTATTAGGGTTCTGTGGGGTTCCCTAAGGACCAAAGGTAGGCATGAAGGACCTATTTTATGAATTCATCTTGTGTACCATGTTTATGCACTTACTGGGGATCACTGCTCACATGCCATTGTGGAGTTTGACTTTTAGTTCTCGGAGCTGGAGTTGCCTTTGTTTTTTCTCCCAGGCAAAGGGAAGCTGGTCTTGCTCTGGGGCTGGGAGAGCTTACTGGCTAATAAAGTGAACGGCTCAATCAGAGTTTTCCGGTCTGTCACAGTCACCTCCCACAGTCTCACTTTCTCGCTTCTTGCCCACTGTTGTGCCACTTCAGCATCCACTTGCCTCTGCTCAGAAAGGTCGAGTTTGTTTCCTAATACAACAATGGCTACCTGGAAGAAAACAGGTTGAAAGATTACACTGTGCCAGCATAGGTGTCCAGGCCAAACAGTTGAGGAAGGAACATTTCCATATAACTACCTGCTTCATTAGTAGGATCTTCAGGTGTGACTGGGATGGTAGGAAGGTTTCACCTCACTCCTTTTCCCTAGTGAACTGCCAGTTGCTAACTATTAAGGTTTAAGTTAACAGGGAAAGTCACTCAAGCACAAATGGAAGACAGACTTGGAAACTGATGTCTAGGATAGCAGTTTAAGCTAGTGATGGCAGTTTGGCTATGCTGGATATTTGGGAGATTTGCAATGCAATGATTCAAAATAAGACAGCTGGGAAGGTGCTCAGTGGTAGAATGCTTGCCTTGCATGCATGAAGCCCTGGATTTGATTCCTCAGCACCACATAAGCAGAAAAAGCCAGAAGTGGCACTGTGGCTCAAGTGGTAGAGCACTAGCCTTGAGCTGAAGAGCTAAGGGACAGTGCCCAGGCCCAGAGTTCAAGCCTCACACAGACCAAAAAAAAAAGATAACCAAAATAAAGTAAGACAATTTAGAGCTGAGTTCTGTGTCCCTAGAATCTTAAGTTCTGTGTCATTGCTGATCTTTAATAAATATCTACGGTTGAATTACAGGCCAACAGGAAATACATGAAGTACAAGCCAAGCATCCATTCCTATTTGGGATGCTTACTACTCAGCCCAACACCTGAGGTGACCTGAACCCAGGCACAAGTGTGGAAGCCTGGGGCGGGGAGGAGGGTGTACCCAGATTTTCATATGATACAGTCTCAACAGGAACATAGGGCCAAACTTGTCGAAGAAGGTGCCTCTGCAGAGTTTTCATAAAACCACTTTTGTCAAGACTAAATAAACAGGCAATTCCTACCCCCATCCAAAAACAAAAAACAAAAAAAAAAAAACCGTGGGAACAGGGGCTGATTGTTCCCGGTGACATCCTCTGCATCAACAACTATGCCTGGCACACAGTAGTTGCTTGATAAGCACTTGTATCTCAGCTTTCTAAGTAGCTGTTAATTAAAGGCTGAATCACCAGTGCCAGCTAAATAGGCTTCTTAAATCGCTATAGTAACCACTGGGGAAAGGTATCACTATCTTGATCTTACAGCAGATAAGGAAACTGACAAAATCTGAGAAAGCCAAGACAATATACCAAGTACATAAGCTTTTGCTAAACTATTTCAATTTGGGGGACAGAGGAATCATTTTCAAGAAAATAATTACAGTAGCCAGGTATGTAATATACCCATAATCCCAACATTGAGGAGTCTGAGACAGGAGGATCATAATCAGCTTGAGGCCAGCTTGAGATTCATGAGACCCTGCCTAAAAAAAAAAAAATTAAAAAGCATCGCCAGGTGCCAAGGGCTCACACCTATAATCCTAACTACTCAGGAGGCTGAGATCTGAGGATCATGGTTCAAAGCCAGCCTGGGCAGGAAAAGTCCACGAGACTCTTACCTCTAGTTAACCACCAGAAAATAGGAAGTGGCGCAGTGGCTCAAGTGGCAGAGCCCTTACCTTGAGCTGAAGAGCTGAGGGACAGTGCCCAGGCCCTGAGTTCAAGCCCCACAACCAACCAACCAAAAAAAGAAAAATCATATATATATATATATATATATACACACACACATACATCCATACAACTATGTTTAAAGTGGCAAACACGAAACTGGACAGCTTTCATTCCTTGTCATTCCTAATCATTTTAAGTTTGCACCTTGTGCCGGGCACTGGTGGCTCATGCCTGTAATCCTAGCTACTCAGGAGGCTGAGATCTGAGGATCGCGGTTCAAAGCCAGCCCGGGCAGGAGAGACCGTGAGACTCCTATCTCCAATAAACCACTAGAAAACCGGAAGTGGCGCTGTAGCTCAAGTGGTAGAGCGCTCGCCTTGAGCTGAAGAGCTGAAGGACAGCGCCCAGGCCCAGAGTTCAAGTCCCACGACCGACAAAAAAAAAAAAAGTTTGCACCTTGTTAATAATCTATTCAAAAAGTATAAGTGTTTGATGACCCAAATGTGCTTTAACAGGCCAGTGGTTAGTTTGGACATACATTATCTTGGAGGACTAGCACCACTCAGCAGCAAAATAGGAGTAAACTACGTACGTGCAATAACTTCAGTGACTCTCCTGAGAATTAGGCTGAATGAAAATACTGTACGACTCCTTTCTTTAGACCTATGTTACACAGGCTGGCCTTAAATTCAAGATCCTCCAATCTTGGCCACTCAGGTGCTGAGATTACAGGTGTAAACCACCATAGTCAGCTGATAAAATACTCTTGAAGCAGCAGACTAGTATTTCTGGGGATTAAGGAAGGAAG